TTATCTAGCATTGTTTCTTCTATTATTTTATTATTTATATGTATATAATATAGTTTCCACTACGCAGCAACATTGATTCAGTTCTACACAGCTAAAAACAATTTTATCTTGTTTACAATTAGGTAACTGAGTCTGTTGTTATGGTAGTCGAAAACCTGTTCAGTGTCGATGAGAATATTTTGATAAATAGTCAAATGGAGAACCAGGCACCTACTAGGATTGTTGAGGTTCTTGAAGGTCAGTTGAGTAATGTAGAACTAAATGACGAAGGCATTTATGAAGAAACGGCCCCCAATCTTGCAGTTCAGGCTCAAAGGTTTGATGTCAATCAGTTCAGTCAAGAGGATATCACTTACCTTAGTTATATATCAGAATCAGATGAGAACAGAGTAGGTAATATTGAAGTACTTGAGGATCGAGAGGAAATACCCGATGCTGCCAATGTGTCAATTGCTTTACCAGTCAGCATATTTGATGTCGTCAAGAAAAATAATATGACAGGTACTTACAACTTTATAGTAGTAAAGCTTTGTCTAGATTGTCAGAATTTTCTTTGACAAAAAACTGTTGTATGCCCATATTCTTTTTTTTTCTTTATTCAAATTCACATCAAGATCACAGCCAAGGCTGAATTAATTAATATTTACAAAAATATCAAGACTATATAATAGTCATGAAGATGTCTATAAATGGTCATGTTGTGATGTCACATGTTTTTGTCAAATATAATTTGATAGTCAGGGCTTTAAATGAAAAGTGTGTTGGTCTCAAAATCTTCTGTGGTCTTAGGCAAATCAACCCACTTTTCCTCATGGGTATATACGGGAATCTACCATAATGTAAATTATTTAAATTAGATAGCAGTGTGCTAGCACTGCTATCCAGAAAACACTACTTTACCCTGCTTTACATGAGTTATAGTCCTATCTATGTAAAATAATGAATAAGATTATATAAATGAGTGACGAGTGGGTATGAGTTTATTAGTATTTATGGGACAGTACAACATTTACATATGATGCGTTTGTTCTGAACAGATTTCAGGATTGTAGTGGTTGTCTACAGCGGCAGTAAATTGTTCCAATCGGCTATCTTTGTCAATAACAGCCTAAGTCGCAGACCAAATAGTCAAGTTATATCTCTTTCAGTGCCTGGATTAGATCGTGTGGAATTGCAGGAACCAGTTGTTACTACATTTATTCCTCTTAAAGTAACATTGTAGTTGATTATATGTTAATAATGTATACTAATTTCATAATACTAAAATTAATAATTATTATAGTTAATAATACACTGTCACATGGTTTTCAAAATTGTTCATTCCCTCATCTTTGATAGTAAATTTACAATTTACTCCACCGCACCTTTCCCTTCCCCCATCTCTTGGGGCAGGAAGTTTTGCCTGGAGAATGCCAAATTCACTAAATATCATACAGATAGTAGATTGGGAGTAGGGCGAATTCACTTGGGAGAAATACCTGTGCCACTAAAATTCATTCAAACACTATGAGTGATATATAATAGGAAATTCGTGATATATATTAGACAACAGATGATATAATAGACAATATGATTATAGTAGACAATAGATGAATTATAATATACAATACATTATATAATTAACAAAAGATAACATGTAATATATTTTTGACACTTAGATATGTAATAGTCAACCTCTTTATATGTGAAAAATTTTGTCATTTCAGTTTTCCATTGTAAATGCTAAAAAAATTTTTTTGGATAATAAAGAAATAAAAGAGAGAGAATAATAATAATAATTATTATTATAATAGATGATGGTATTATATCATTTTGAATAATTATTAATAATATTATTGATCATAATCCAAATAATATGACAAAGAATGTTAATACAATTTTTAATTACTAAATATTGATATTAACTTTACATTAATACAATAATCCGTCTCACACATTTACATTTCCAGATCAAAGACAGTATCATAAATACAATGTGTGTATTTTGGGACTTTGAACTTGACGGAGCTGGTGGATGGTCAAGTGAGGGCTGCACGTTTGTAAATGAATCTGCGGATGGGAGCGATAGACAATATTGCGAGTGTTCCCATCTAACTAACTTTGCTATAATTATGGTAAGGTACACTAGGCTTATTAGTAAAATAAAACAATTTATGTTCTCAAAACAGTTAAAATAAATATCCTACTAACTGTTGAACAAAGCACATTTGCTCACTAAATTTATATTCAGAATTTGTAGAATTTAAAATACATAATATTATTTTCAAAGAATTTCATCTGGTTCCATATTTAATATAGTAGGAAAGTATCTGTTTTGTTTGTTTTGTTTAGTTGGTGAAACCATTGCTAAGGTCGGTAAGCAACTAATTATTTTTCACAAATCAGATAATTTCCTACTACATAAATATTATGATTGTAATGATCTTTATAGTTTCAAAACAAAAAACAAAAATATCGCGGGGGCATGTCCCTGGACCCTCTAGGGTGGTGTTATCTCGATCGGCGCCACTTTCGGGCCCGACTTTCGGTCCCTCCTTTCAGACATCGCTGATCCGCCCCTGATTTTTAATACATAGTATTATAATTGCAGTTCTCATGGGTGGATCCACCTTTTTGCAAATGGAAGGGCACATGTTGATGATGTAATTTTGGGCAAGTGGTCCAGGGGCCTTCCCCGAAAAAACTTTGGTTTATAGGCCTAGATGCTCGGATATATTCCATGCTTTCTTGCAGTTTAAGGGACTGTTAAAATGAATTTCTTTAGACTTCAGAGTTTTTCTTGTTAGCATGCAGAAAAATTATAATTACTATAAGAATCGGGCCTTTAATGGTGTGACATAGGTAATGGAACGTTTTGAAAATCTTGACGAACCTACTACAATGTATTGTATATAATTCATTTTATGCTATTATAATTTCCCATGTGATGCTTATCAACAACTGAGTTCATTAAAAATGTTTCAGAAAGTTTAGCTGGAAAACAGGATGGCTTACCCACAAAGAATTTTAATGTAAGGGTTTGTTAGGAATGATAAGAAACGAGTTGTGCTGCATGAGTGCTAAAGTGGTAAAGCACAGTGGCTCATTAAGAAGTAATAAGTTAAAAAGTTACTCCTATTTCATTAATCATTGCAATCATTTAATATATTTTATTTGCCCCCATAAAAACCCAAATATTCCAAATAAATACTTAATTTAGCCTGACAAATCCAGTGTTATGTAGATATCCATAAGTATACTCAGTGTCAGCTGAGAACATCTGTGGAGTGCAATGCACTTTCATGTATCTTTTGCTGATTACTGTCTTCTAATGAATTAATGGGGGCAGATCGAAGGCCCTGGCAAAAAGAAAAAATCAGACTTTACCTTGATGATGTTATTATCATTGACTTTTAATAGGATTTTAAGAGGGTTGATCCTCTCCCACCAGAAGCTGAAATTGTGACTACAGTTGGTTTAAGCATATCAATCATATGTCTTTGCTTAACAGTTCTTACTTTAGTAACCAAAAGGTATGTATATAATTAATTGTTGGAATATTAAGCAATTACTAGAGCTCCGCATAGTATACTATTGGAAAGTTATTATACGAAGGTTAGATAATGCTTGAAAAAATTTCCTGAGCAGGCCCGAAGGATATATTTGAATGCATTAAATCTAACCTAAGTATAATAATTTTCCATTTAGTGTACGATCCCATGCTCTATTAATTGCTTTATAAGTCAATCGCCGTCTTTTAATTTTAGTTTTTTATAACCAACTGTTGTAGCAGTCATCGGTTGCTATAGTGATATGATCAGTATACATGTGCGTATTATTTACATTTAGCTGTGCGTATGCTGATTTTTGCTTCTGCAGTACATGTTTAATTAACTACACATCACCAGCAGTACAGTACGGATACGGTGAATAACTATTGTGTTAGTATTGTTTTCTAATGCTATTTTGATAGACTTTCGTCAAAGAAATAAACATTTTAGCATTCGAGAGAGAATACTGACGTCCTTTTTGGTCAGTGCATGCAGACAGGTAAAATCGTGCCATGTTTTCATAACTAGGCTAGTAGGAGGAGGGCCGGGGGCAGCATGGCCTCTGCCTGGCCGTAAACCTACATCTAAATTTAATATTAAACCTACATCTATACTCAATATTAAATTTGAAGTAACTTTCTTTGGGTTCAAATTAAGCTTGTTTTACAAAAGTAATTATTAGTTACAATTCAATTGTTATCGCGGTGCGCGATGTATTCGCGGTGACGAAAAAATGAGGAATTTTTTTTGCACACGAAAAAAAATCAAGCCAAACGTCCACTACTAATAGAAAAAATAATGGACGATAGGCAAATAACATTAGGAGTTACAGTGATGACGTCACGATTGACTTATAATGTGTATTACTATACCTCTTACATATTATTAGGTAATAACATTATTTAACATTTCATCAATTCCACCCAGCAAGAGGTGTGGTATTTTTTATTACCTCCTTTCGTGCCAAATTTACGTGTATGCAGTGCAAAATGTACCCAAAATTGACTACCACACCCTCACCTTCGTCAACCATATGCAATCTATGTAATTTTACTCTCACTGATCAAAATGGCAGCAGACGGGCGGTTTGATATTTATAATGTATAGTAAAACAAATACGACATGTTTTAATTGCAGTAAAGCAGTTATAATATTCTAATTTGGATACTACACCTTTAAAACATTGACACATATTACATGATAAAGGTGCATGCAAAATTTGGTTAACATAAAATATTACGACATACAATACAAAAAAAATATAAATTAGGATGTAGGCCTATTGTCCTACTGCGTTTAAGTATAAATAGAAAAATATTTACTCAAACAATTTACAAGGCCACCCCATCGAACACCCACCCTCATCAAAGTGTCATTAGGAAATGATGTCTTATTAGAAGCAAAATGATGAGAAGAATGGCCCCTCAAATCCCCGGAGTGACCCTTACTCCATTTAATATTAATTAGGCAGTACACAAAATACAAACTTAAAATTAAAATTAGTTAAAATTCAAAATGTCCTTACAGAATACAATAAAGCAGAAAGGAAAATAAACTAAACTGAATTGACATGTCAACAAGGACGCGAAGCCCCGCCCACAAAGTCATGAAAACCTTAGACAATGACGGCTAGACTTTTACCGAGACTTTACTATCAACCTTCTTTAAGAAGAAAGAGGAGAATTTAGGGTAGGCGGTATGCAAATGAATCATATATTCATAGTGTTAATCTATCATGGAACATGGCGGGGAAATTGTTGTAAAAGCATCTGTATTTCGCTTCTAAAGGAAGAGGGAAAAGCCGCATTCAGTCAACTCTTTTGTCGGCAAAGGCAAAGTCATTGATGCGCACAAAACGTAGTCATACAGATGAGAATTCTCTAACTTCCACACAAGAGCACACAACCTATTAATCCCAGTGACCCCACCATCCCCTCGCTTCTTCGTACCAGGTGAAATGGTCCCTCGTTGTGATGTTTGGGACTACCTCCCGCCGTTTTGCATCGAGAGGTAGCCCCAATTATCCAGCACCAGAGAAAGTAGTATTCACTATCAAGTTGTATTTTTATACTATTAGGTGATGATCAAAAGATGACAACCACCTATGCAACAAGCCCCGCTGTAAAATTTGTAAAATCCTCATCACTAATCACTTCATCCTAGTTACAACCACTCTATAAAACCTCCCAACCTCTCATGCAATTCTCATAACATAATTTATTTAATAACATGCAATATTTGTAACAAAGGCAACTACGTTGGCGAAACCATGAACCCACTTAGATAACGCATTAACCAACACAAATACGGCATTAGGAAAAATGCCACCGACGAAACCGTAGCCCAACATTTTAATTTGCCCCATCACTCTATTAGCAATCTGCATGTTACCATCATCTATGCTAACTTAAACTCCACTCATCATCACCGCCTTTCAGAACTTTCCTGGATTATCAAACTTAAAACTCGCACACATTGCCTTAACAAAGATCTTGACTTTCTTGCCGACTTCACCTTTCACCTCTAAACTGTTTATTCCTTATCCTATTCTCCCACCACGGCTATATATATATATATATATATTTAAAAGAATATAGGAAACGAATACCATATATAGACTTTTAGAAACACTTTATTGGAGAAAACCAATATTTCAAAGTACCTTGATAAAGACTTATGGATAGGTCAAAATATTGGTTTTCTCCAATAAATTATTTGTAAAAGTCTGTACATGGTGTTCGTTTCCTATATATTAATATAGATTCCAAAACTCAGTAAGTTACTCTAAAATGATAATTTAGAGAGGTTTAGACGATTAAATATCTGCTAAAGTGCTTCCTTTTGATTAGCATCAAACAAAAAATATAAATGAAGTACAGTAAGCATCCATACATATATATTTGAGTTATTGTTATTGTTTGTTTATTTATACAGTTGTCCCTGCCCCCAAATTATGAACACCTCTAATTACAAACCACGTTTTCAAAATATCAATTATTTGATTAATCGAGACCAAGCCCTGCGACCACCACACATGTATATAATATATGTATATAATATGAATGTATATGAATATACATTATATATATATTATTTTTCTTTATAATATCATTCATAGTAATCTCGATTGTAATCTTATTTCAAGTTTCTTTATTAATATCCCATCTCATACGTTAAGAAGTAAACCCACATTTTATGTTCCTTTGGGGAGGGTTAATGCCATCCAAAATGGTTTATTTTGTAGATTAAATAAATTATATAATTCCCTTTTAGTTCAAGATAATAATCTTGATATATTTTCATATTCGTTTAATTAGTTTAGGCATAAAGATTTAAGTGTACTCTAATTGATCATTTTTTTATCTTTTTTTCCGTGATTTTTCATCCAGTTTTCAATTTGTTGTTTATATATATATATACAGTATATATATATTTTTTGTAGTTGCATTCTTGTTTATTAACCCTCCTATTATTTCCGAATTTATTTTGCTGTTGGTTGTGGCTTTAAAGAAATAAATAAAGAAATATATATATACTATTATGTTAACAAAAACAATCAAATGATATGTTTTGAAATATATACTCATAGATGTAATGTGTACATGCATAGATCAATACTGTACTGTGTATTATGAAACCTTCCACAACGGTTTCAGCAATTTACCCTACTGTTTTGGTTTTGTTTTTTCTTGCAGTTGTTTCCTGACCCTCAAGCGTATGTATTACGCTGTTGCAATTCCTGTTGCTCTACCCTTACTTTTCAACACCTTAATATTCATTATGGTTTTACATAGTTTAAGCCTACTTGGGACAAAAACAAATAATTCTACAATGAAAAAACGGAAAAAGAGAAACAAGGGGATGAAAATGTTGCAAAATGGAGTGAGCATTACGCTGATGTTGGGTTTAACATGGATTATCGGCTTCTTCGCTATTGGTGATGCTGCAGTAATCATGCTGTGGCTTTTTTGTATTCTTAATTCTTTTCAAGGGTTTCTTATTTTTATCATGTACTGTGTCAGAAATAAAGATGTACGTACTCACTGGTGCAAAATGTTGCGCATTTTACCATAAAGTACAAATGTTTTCAATCATAACTTTTTCTAGACCTAAGTAAAAACAAATCTTGTCTTTATCTCCTAGCCATTGTAGAAATATTTTCAACGAAAAAAATTAAGTTATTAGGCTTTAAGAAATATATATAAAGATAATGATGAAAATGTATTGTGCACCGGTATCCATCCGTAAAAATGCTTATGGCGCATCGACACGGCAATGCACTTCAAATCATTAACTACACTTAAACTCATATTAATAGTTATAAATATACTGTATACTTAATATTTTATAATGTATTTAATAACTTTTACATCGACGCAGTATACACTTAATTAATGAGGAGCTGAAAAAGGGAGGGGCTGGTCTCCGATTGCAAAAGTAGACACTCCTTTGGCAAAATGCTGGGCTCCGGTAGTTTCCATTATTGGCAAATCCCTGGCTCCGCTACCGTACGCTGCAAAGACAGTGATGGAATAGGAAAAAAGCGATGTCCCAACGTATTTGTCAGATGGCATGAGAAAGCTCCTCCAAGAAATATATGTTCAGGAATCCGGGTTCAATGCCCATAAGCCCCTTGAAATTATGTCACTTCTAACGTTTGTGGCGCCATTTTGTTGGGACCAGTTTGCCGAAACCGAGTTTGCCGAAACCGAGTTTGCCGAGTCTATAGCCACTCTGCCGAAACCCAGTTTGCCGAATCCATTCCCCAACCAAAATAATGACAACTCAGTTTGCCGAAACCCTGTTTGCAGAAATGAAATACATTTTCAATTTCACCATCATCTGCTGCATCGCTGCTCATTTTTATTTTGTTTTATTTTTGATTATTATGTTGTTAAGCGCCTCGAGTTGTTAATATTGAGGCGCTATATAAATATTGACAATTTCTGTTATTATTATATAATCTTAACAATCACTTTTGTTGTAAGCCTGTAATACGTCTAAGTGCCTTGATGGGGACCAACATGTTGAAAAACACACTTAAAGGCATAGCTATCAGTTGTAGAATAGAATGAAATGAAATTGAAGATTAAGTATCAAATCTTATTATAAGTGTTAACAAGAAAAATATACATATATTTCGTCATAACATTTAAGCACATAAATTGAAGCCCATATGCACGTGTCGGTGGTACGAGTGGTGGGTCAGAAAGGCACATCCTTAGTCGGACAAGCCTGGACCCTGCCCCCGTCGTCCGCAGCCAGGAAGAGGTCGTTGGACCAAAAATAATAATTTGTTTATCCATACGTTATTTTGATTGCCAATCCCTAATATTGTGGTATAAAAACACAATTTGGGTCATACGAAAACCTAAAAAACTATACCAGGGATTTTTATTCCAGGACCCACTGGCACATGTGTATAACTGTAGATTATTATTTATTCTTTTTCTTCAGGTCTACTTATTATTATCTTAATTAAATTTTATATAGGCCTATTTATTATAAATATGCTTATGACATTTTGCCTAATAGGCCTATTTAATCATTTTTTTTTGCTGATAGCCGAATTGTTTTAAATCAAGACAAAAATAATCATTACTATAATAATCCGCTATTTATTATACGAATACACAGTGATCCCATCGCGTTGGAATGGCTTCTAAATTCTCAATGTCGCTGGCGCCACCAGTCATGGAAAGCGAGTGCACCATTGTAAATGTTATGCTTCTGTTTATATTTCAATTAATTGACTTTCGACAAACTGGGATTCGGCAAACTGGGATTAATGGTTTATGAGTAGGCAAACTGGAATTCGGCTAACTGGGTTTCGGCAAAGTGGAGACTCGGAATCTGGTATTCGACAAACTGGGTTTGGCAATCTGGCCCGGATCTGCTTGCTCTCTATTTTAAAATGGTAAACATGTTCTGAACAAATAACCGTTAATAACGGTTATTTGGTTAAAAAATTCCAAAATAAGTATTTCTGCAGCCAAAAGACTTGAACAATTTAAATTCGATTTACCCCCACCCCACCCGTGCCCAGTGGCGTAACAGGCGGGGGAAGGGGGCAGACTGCCGGGCTGACCAAGCCGTCGTACTGGGCTGGGTAATAGATAAAAGAAAGAGGGGAGAGGAAGGAAAAGAGAAAGAAGGGGAAAAGAAAAGGAAAAGAAAAAGAGAAGAGGAAAAAAAAATAAATAAAAAGGAAGATATCATAATGACCAGACTCAAAACACCTTGCAACCCCTTTTCCACTTCAAAAAGTGTCCATATCTCCTTTGATCTAAGCCGCCAGATATTCTTCGCAGTGGCGTAACCACCCCTTGAAGATGCCCTTTTCACCCCCTGAAAGTGCCTAAAAATCTCAAATTTCACGCGCATTTCTTGTTAAAGTAGGCCAATTTCCTCTAAAAATTGCACATTTTATGGAGTTTTGATCAATTCCGACGAAATTAGAATTAAAAACACACAATTTTTAAGGGTTTTTTAGGGTTAGCTTTCGAAGTTATTTAAACACATAAAAGTCCTAAACTCAAGAAAGAAAATTTAAGATAGATAGTTTTACCTAAAAGAAGGGCCTCAATGTGTAATGATGGTGAAAGAATATTTCTTTAATAAATAAAGCCATAATGAAAATGCTTATATTCCAGTTTAAAAAAAACGTGTGTGGCCATATAATAACATAAGCCCTAAACTAAAAGGGAAAAAAATGTGAACGCTTCGCGCGCATTTTTGAGGGCGTGAACTTGTGCTTGTCCTCCTTTGCCTTTATAATTTAATTGAACACATAATAGTCCCAACTCAAATAGAAAGAACATTTAAGACAGATCGTTTTACCTAAAAGTATTGATGGTGAAAGAATATGTTTGTAATAAATAAAACCATGATGAAAATTTTTTTGAAATAAATTCATTTGGAACCAAATATAATTTGTATGAGATTTTTCATTTGTGTTAATCCAGCAAAAAACAAAACAATAGTACTCACACTACGTTTCGCGAACGATCCATTCGCTTTCTCAAGTAGACTGGTGATGTTATCGCCAGACTGGTCTGACGTCACCTCGGTGTTGTTGAGGTCGAAGTGCATCGCTGCGTCGTCTACGAGGCCCCCTCTCAGTGTTGTGGTCCAATATGATATCATCATACATATGTGATAGAATGTGTCCTCCTTCATCTCTGTTCATAGTATCTGTTGTTTTTCTGATCCATAAAGATTCTCTGATTTTTCGTTCAAACCATGAGCTTCCTTTTTGTAATATTTTTATGCCCCAATTTGGAATATGATTTAGTTGTGTGGCATGATCGGTGATCGCAGATTTATTTAAAATTTGATTGCAGATTTTAAAAAAATTTAAAAAAATGTTTAAATAAATCTGCAATCACCGATCATGCCACACAACTAAATTATATTCCAAATTGGGACATAAAAATATTACAAAAAGAAAGCTCATGGTTTGAACGAAAAGTCAGAGAATCTTTATGGTTAAAAACTTCAAATACACGTCTTCTCTACGATATCACGAATTAAAAACAAGATGACGGTGAATTCTCCATAGTTTTTCCAACAACCGGATACCATCAGCTCCTACAAACATATAGCCTCTGATTGTTGAGAACCCCTATAGAGTATTTTCCTTATCTGTAAAAAGAAATCCAAAACATTAGCTCTTTTACGGCTCTTTCATCTTCTCTATATCTAGTAGTGTCGGTGTAGTGTTTCCTTAATGTGTCAAAAAATTCTCCGGAATCTCCATCTTCAGAGGAACTCAAATCCCTGACAGTGAATACGTTTGTAATCTCCGACTACTGTATAATTACCAGAAAGGCGAAACAGACTTTTCAGCTAGTTTAACTTGCTAATATTACTCAAGGTACTAGGTGGGCTACGATGAACAAAACCAAACAAGTGATGAGTTTTCGTTTCTTTAACTACCAAACTAATTTACCTTCTTTTAGCTTGGGAAACCGCTACCATACGTAAATTCAAACACTACGCTCAGAATATTAAAATCCATAGCTATCCAGAAACCGAGAAAGATTCGGAAAAAATGTGATGCAAGGCATTGCGATTTAACATTAGAAACTGTTTTTCTAGCAACCCAGTCGGGGAGAAAAGTCTCTGCTGACGCTTAGGACACAATGTATGGCCCCGTCTATTTACAGTGTTCATAATAATTTTCAACAAATTGCAGAATGTTTATGACTTGATTATTACCTCCTCCAAATGAGGTTATGTGTTATATTTGGTATCCGATCATTTCGTCGGTCACGCCTTCATTTTAATGGAATGTGTACATAATAATTGAAAACTGAAATCATTCAATTTTCGGAAGAGAAGTTCAAAGGACAAGGTTAAGGTCACGGAAATTCGATTTTACACCATTGAGCATAAAGAAAATAATAGAATAGCACCTCGTATTCAGGCAGCACTCACGAAAATATAGTAATCTGCCTGAATAACGACAGTCATTAATTCCATTATTTTCTTAAAGGTATGCTGCATCACTAAAAAATAATGTGCCTGAATACGACGGGCGATTCCATTATTAATACCGTGTAAGTATAACTAGATTTACGATCAAGATTTGAATATTCTAATACGATTCAAATACCAAACAATTTTTTTTATCTTGAAGTTCATCATCGAGTTAAAAGACAAATAATTAAAAGAGAATAAAGAAAAACGTTAAAAATCATAACAACAAAGACTTTTAACTCAAGGTTCCAAAACTCGGAGACACCCGCGACTATTATGGGTTATTCAATTTAATTCAACAATTCAACTTTTATTTCGGATCCAATAGACAAAATGATCACAAGAGAATAAGGCTCACTACCCTAATATGGGCCTGAACGAAGTTAATTAATTAATTAATGACAATGCGCGATGTTTCTACAATGACCGGTACAGTAGTCGGTCTACTGTGCCGGTACATACAACTGTTTCCTTAGCCCCACATGGTTGGGCTCTAGGTGGTCGGAATGGGACTTTCCAAACTTAAATTAAATATAATTTTTTTTTTTCATTTGTTATTTATAATTTTGAAAATGTTAGGAGGACACGGCCCGGCGCCCTTCTCCCTCCCACACCTAATCCACCACTGTATAGGGCCTAATTTATTGGTTTGTGACCCCTCACTTTACGTCAATGCATACCCAATTTCAGATCAGCCCATTAAGCACAATGTCGACGCCGTGACAAATACCAATTTGGTGTTTACTGACTCAACATTTACATCATCATTGCTCAGGTACCGACGTTCAATCACGCAGCGGAGGTGTTCCATTGATAAGCCTCAGCATGAAACACAGCAGTTGCAATTTAAATATTATTCCTAGAGTAAGTATATCTTGTACCTTGTAAATTGTAGCTTGCAGTTTTTTTCACTATAGTAAATTTCTTTCTAATTGAAGTTGTGGGAAAGATATGATTTATGAATATTCAGACCCATGTAAATGAAGAAATAGCAATAAAAAAGCGTGTTTTTTTTTTTACTTAGGGAAACAATGTTCTGCAGGTTATGAAGATGGTGTTATTAAGGTGTGGGATTTAAAGACAGCTAAAGCATTGACAACATTCAAAGGTGAGTTGAGTGAGTGTACAGGTCTCCCTCTAATTAAAGACCGCTTCTGTGACAGGCTACCTCCAATTAAAGACCATATTTCTGCAGCGTCAAATGAATGCCTATGTTAGGTCTTTTTGATAATACAGGTCTCCCTCCAATTGAAAACCCCTCCAATTAATGATGCTTCTGATTAACAACAGCCTCCAATTATAGACCACATTTCTGTGGCCGATATTAACAAATGTCTTTAATCGTTATTATGCCAAAGCTGCTAAAGACCATGGAAACCTCAGTCTTAAAAGTGGTCTTTAATTGGAGGGAGACCTGATAGTCATAGGCATACTATTGTATTATCACGTTCTTGGTATATTGTCCAGGGTGTTGCAATACCTACATTTGTCTGTCCATAGTTTAGTAAGGTGTGGTAAAACAGTATGTACATTCTGTATGCAGATTACCCATAATGAAGCTAATATAAGAATGTTTAAAATCATTATGTTATTTGTATAAAAGTGTGGAGTGTACCTTCGTTGGTTGTCAGTAATAAAGTAAATTTTGAAATTTGTATTGCTAAAGCTATCAAAACTTGTTTTGCCAAAATATTTCTTTCACAGTTCACAGTAGCAAAGAAAATTCATTAGTATCTAAGTGGTTATTAGAAGGGACTTCCTCCACTAACAAGGATTGAGAGTAGTCATTTAAGACACATGGAACAATATCCCCCTTTGGAGTGTGTAAATGTTTCATAGGTGTTTGATGCAATGATCATGTAATAATGTGAAAAAGATTTGGCACTTTATAAAACAGACATATGTCTATTAAAATAAATTTTGTATTTTGTTTTTATAATTTTTATATTTACTTTTTAAATATTATTATATTCATCAGTAATGAGCATTGATTAATCTGTTATAATATAAATAGGGTTTATGTCTATTCACCTGCCTTGTCTAGTCTAATAACTACTTTATTCTTGTTTTGTTTTTCTGAAATAAATAATTTATGTATTGCTTTTTAAGGAAATTCTTGTCACCAAGACAGTGTGACATCTTTAGATTGCCATGACAACAACAATCTCATCTTGTCAGGATCTGTTGATGGGTCAAGCAAGATATATAATTGTAATACTGGGAAGGTAAGTTTGTCTTCAGCCACATTTCGAAGTAGAACTTGTAGTTCTACTTGTTTGTAATTATGCACTCTGCAATTGTATTCCCGGGCCATAGCGAGGCACTGGGCGAAAGTGAGCCGTGGAGGTACACATAGTTGTGTCCCCGTAATGTAGGCCTAGCGCTGTCAAATGGTCTGGTCCTACCTAGCAATTTGCTTACACTAGGCATCCAGCAATTTCTATGTGATTTGGTAATTAAAAAAGTCACCTACTGGTACTCTATGGTACCTAGGCCTAGAGTACCTTTTATAGATCAAGATTCACAGTATAAATTACATAATAAAATTTGAACCGTACCTCCACCACACAACGACGGGGACTGAGGTAACGTGAGTGTGTTGCGTGAAAATTTGTGAACCGTGTATCTGACCTAGTTTACGTCAAAAAATACACCAGTGAGCCTAGGCAAGGAAATTTGTTTCTACTACTGTATTGATTTTCTTATTTAATTTCTATTTTGATACTGAATATATTC